GGGTTGAATTGGTGCACAGGGCCCTGGAGTGAGGAGACTTCCCTTCCCAGCTTATGCCTCCATAAGCTGACACTGGCTCTAGGCATTCTTATCCATAAAATAAGTGTGCGAAACTGCCCTAAAATTCAGTCTCTCAGTGCAGTTGCAACCAGTTTGTCCTTAGAGAAGTTCCAGCTGCCGTCCAGAACCAAAAGTGGGAGGAATCCAAAATATGGCTTTGCCTTTTCATAGCAAGGAGCATCTGAGGCAGTTTGTTACTCAGCAAGCGGTTATCGAAGGTTTGTCGTCAGTCCAGGGGAGGACTGTAGCATGATAGGCTTCTCTCTTCCTTAAGGAACCTATAATCAGGTATCCGTGCCAGTTACTCTTAGTAACCTGTTCAGAAAGTTGTCAAGAACCCAAGAAAACAAACTCTTAAGAGCAGGTATAACAAAGCACGAAGTTTATGTTCACAGAAGGATTTTTATATCGCCAAAAAGCATGTATCTCTTTTCCAGTTTCAGCCTAGCTATATAACAGAGATAGTCTCTTCATCTGAAAATAGGCCCTCTTAAATAAAGAAGCTTCCAAAATAAAGTACTAGACTCTAAGGTCCGTGAGGGCAGGGGTTCTGGGTTTTGTGGACCTAATCCTTAGCAAGTAGAGCAAGACCTGCCACAGCATATGCCCAATAAACTATGTGTTGAATGCATCTCCCATGGTATTTTGGTTCTGAATTTATCAGGTTTAAGTTTAAAAAAGAAGAAACGGGGGCCAATGATGACCAATTTTGCTGGCCTGCCCCTGCAGTGGAAAAATACCGGCTCTCTGGATAATGGTCAGGTTTCAAGCCAAGTTGTGTTTTTTCCAAGCCAAGTTTTGTTTTGGATTTTTAAAGGCATTGGACCAAATAGTAAATGCACTGGAGCTCACATATATTGTGAAACTTTGTTCTCCACTGGAGTGTTCAGAACTTGTAGAGTGAACTGAACTTCTAACGGTAGGCTCGGAGCCTTTAAGTGTCTCCTCGTGGCCACCAGACAGTCCCTAGGTGAAGGAGGTGGGACTTGTGTGTTTTCTGTCTTTCCATTGCATGGATTCATGTTATGGCATTGATAGATTCCCTTAAAGACTTCCTTGCCTGAGGCCCTGAGATCTCTCAGCTGCAGTCTAGACTTAACCTTAAGCCAGTTCAGGGAACTGGAGTGGGGGTGGGGATGGGGATAGGGGGGGTCGTGGTATTTGTTGCTCTGAGTTGAGCACAGATTAGGCAGGAGGCTTGGCAGACCTAGATTCAGAACCCAGCCCTGCTGAGACCAGCTCTGTGACTTTGGGCTACTGCGGTAACTTCTCAGAGCCTCAGGGCATTGTCTGTATAATAGATGTCTGTTGTAGGTTGTCTCGAGACTAGATGACATTACAGACACACGCAGTTACCTGAGGGTGTCTGGCACTGAGGAAGTTGGGCAGAGTGGCTTTGTAGGGAATTGCCAAGTAAATGATAGTTTTCACTTCTGTTACAATTACATGTTCTGCTCTCTGTGGCCTATGTCTTCAGTGATTGAATCAGGAGAAATTGCACGTTTTTAGCACTCTTATCATTAGGAATATGAAATATTAGTTTCGGGCCCTGTCTTTCTGTTCCCCTTTCTTTCAACGTTCTTTCCAATGAAGAAAGAATAGCTTTTTGGGTCAGATTCTAGGATCTCATGGGGCAGGGAACAAATGCTCTGGAAGTTTGACTATCATTTACTCCTGGTCCTGGGTCAAGCTCTCTGCCTATCTCTGGAACATTATGCTCCAACCTCAGGAAAAGCAGAGTCTGTTCGATATCTGGCCAGTCTGAAAATTAGAGTGAACTTTTCATTCTTGGATCCGTGGTGTTGCCATGGACCCTGGACTGTAAATAACATTTGGGCAACACTCTTCTTAAAAGAAAAATACACGTACATCCAGTGCTAAACTATCATTCCAAACCCCAGGTTTTTTAGGAAAGCAGGTGCTCCTAGTTCATGGGTTTTTGCTGAGTCCGCAGATTCTAGTTTAAAAGGACACTAGCTCCAAATCACAGGCTCAAACAATTATCTGCCAATTTTATACATTTTTAAGAAGGCTGTTTGCTTTAATGGGGCACTCTACAGGCAGACTGACATATCAAAAACAAAAACACTCATTTACACACGGGCACATAGTCCCTACGCATTATTATTAAAGTGGACCCCTCTCGGCATTAGGATCTCATGAGAAGACAATGTCACAGAGAGCACAGCAGATAGCTGCAGCTCCCTCCGCTGCCTTCCTCGTAGACCCCTGCTTGCTGACGGGGTAGGGGGGAGAACAAGTTGCTTGCTCAGAGCTTCTGGATTCTTGAGTCTCTTCGTCATCAGTATATTTTAATCTTATGTTTTAAAACCTTGGAAACTAACATGACACTAAACATATCATGTTCAAATTTAAATGCAAATTCTAAAGCCATATATAAACACACTCCCTTGGTTAACTGCTATTTGGGGTTATCTGATCTTAGTATAGCCTAAGATCTTTACCTGATAATGAAGAAGAGAGTGTTGCCATTTTCCAATTCATGGGCCAAGAATACAACATTTGTAAGAATCCAGCTCGTGTGTCTTCTCCTGCTAGCAGTTTGATGACTCAGAAATACCCATCCACTCGATCAGGGGCCTATTCTTGGTTAGTAGGGGAATCCCTGAGGACTGATGACTCAAGAATAAGAGTGTCAACCTCCAAACAGTTTTCCCATGGTCCATCTAACATCAGCCTGCCCTTTTTTGACAGTTCAGCCAAGGTCCTGCTTTGTGTATCTAACTATTGGTTAGCTTTTGGCTCTGCTCCCAAATTCAGCAAATCCAGCACTGACAATTGCATGTGATGGGTGAAAGCTGTATTACCTTTTCCTATGAACAACCCTTTGGCTTCAGATATATATTCTGAATATGCTTCTGGTATAATGCAAGTAGTAGTAATACTTTCCACACCTCAGACTTAAAGATCTTTGATGTTTTTGGTGTTTAGATACTTTTATCAAGTGCCAGTATTAACTTTGGTGAAGTCATGATGAATTTCAACTTTCCATAGTCAGAAACTGAATTATATCAGATCATTTACAGGTAAATAATTCCTCAGAGTCATTAATTTAAAACATGAACAATGCATAGAAAATCTAAATGTTAGCATCAGAAGCCAAAGAATTAAGTTGGTGATCCTCTTCAGCTACCCCAACTAGAAAATTTGGTTTTTGAGCAGAGAATTAGAAAGGAAATTGGTTTCTCTCAAATTTGCCGTATCTGGCTGATTTTACCAGGTAAGTCTCCTTCTATAAGCCAGAAATGTTTCTGCCAGCAACTAGTTATAGGATGCTAGTTCACAATGGGAAAATACTGGCTCCTTTCTCCCTTTTTTTATTTTTTATTTTTTATTTATATTATGCCTTTTGGTCACTAAACCATCTATTATTTATCTTGCACATTGGATCGCAGCACATGTCATGTGTTGACAATGAAGATGTACCTTAACCTTATATGCAACACATTTAATGGATTCATCTTGTATCAAAAAAAACAATTCCATGTGGTCCAGTCCTAAACTATCATCTTACATGTGAAATTGTACTAGTCACTCCATTTCCGTTCTTCAGACTTACTTGTGGCTGTTGTTTAACTTTCCTTGACGGACAATATAAATACAGATAAGAGCCCAGATTATAAGTATGTCTTGAATTTTCACGAAGTAAACAAATCCAGGTAACCAGCACCCAGATCAAGAAACAATATGTTACCAACACACACACACCCCTGGCCAGAACCTCCTCCCTCGTGTCCCCTTCCCATCCGTAGCATGACCTCCTGCCCACCAAGAGAAGCCATTGTATTGACTTCTATCACTGTAGATTGGATTTGCTTATTTTTGAACTTCGTATAAGTGAAATCTTACAATACATATTCTTTGGTGTCTGACTTGTTTTACTCGGCTTTATTTTTGTGAGATTAATCCAAGATGTTGCATATATGTGGCTCATTTTTCCGAATCACTTTGTGGTATTCAATTTTTGGAACATAGCTTATCCATTCTACTGTTGTTGAGCATATGGATGGTTTCCAGTTTGGGATTGCAATAAGTAGTGCTGCTGTGAACATTTTTATATGTGTCTTTTGGTGAACTTACCGCCGTATTTGTTTTGTATATACTTAGAGTGGAATTGGGTCATATGTGCAGCTTCAGTAGATACTGAAAAATAGTTTCCCAAAGTATTCCACCCTCTCCGGCAGTGGAAGAGTTCCAGTTGTCCAGCATTCTCACTGATGCTTGACACTGTCAGGCTTTTCATTTTAGCGATTGTGGTAGGTGTATAATAGTAACACCTGTGGTTTGATCCTCAGGTTTTTTTGTATAAAATAATTTCCAAGTTCCCTTCTACTTTTGACAGTCTTTTTTTTATGAAATAGCAATTTTAAAACTCCTTTATATATGGTAGAAGCAGGAAAATGCCATAATCCTCCACTTAATATTGTGGTAACAGGAAGAGATAGAAATAATTGATTGTTATAATTGTTGATGATAGAAAATAAACCCCAAAAATGCTGACAGGATCCTATCCTAGCTTGTGAAGTTTATCTAAAGTTCACTTACTGTTGATCTTTGAGAAAGGCAAATAAGAAAGGCAACAAAGGATAATTCACTTATGCATAGTCCAGAGCTGTCTTCAAAGCTGAAGGCCCAAAAGGCCCATAAAATAAATGGTCAAAGCTAATACTACTTGCCTTTCCTTACCTCTATAACTCTTGCCTTATTGTGTGTGCAATGGACATAAAATGCAGAAGACAAACAGCAGTGTTGAAACACAGATACTTGATCTCATTCACCATTTAAGTAAATGGGAAATGCCTGTATATCAATGAATTGGGCATAACAATTATGTTTGAAATATTTGTTCACTCCTTTTGCAGATATTTATGGAATATTTCCATTATGCCAGGCACTGAAATAGTTGCCAAGGACACAAAACCACAAACTCCTGCTCTCAAGGGGCTTATCGTCTAAAGAAGAGACAGATATGTCAACAAACTGTAGTCACTATAGAGTATAAAAATGTGTCACCCATTGGGGCTGCTGTAACAGAATACCATAGGACTGGGTGGCTTACACACAACAGAAATTAATTCTCACAGTTTTGGAGGCTGGGAAGTCCAAGATCAAAGTGTCAGCCAATTCAGTGTCTGTGAGCAGATTGTGTCTGATGAGGGCCCCTCCTAGGTCCATACACAGCTAGCTGTCTTCTTGCTCTCCTCACATGGCAGAAGTGGTCAAGGGAGCACTACGGGTCTCTTTATAAGGGCACTTATCGCATTCATGGCATCTCTCCCTCATGACCTAATCACCTCTCAAAGGCCCCACCTCCAAATACCATTACATTGGGAATTAGGTTTCGACATATGAATTTGGGGTGACATACACATTCCTTCTGTAGCAAAGCACATGTGGAATTACAAGGTACACACAGGCTGTGGCAGGGGACACGAAGGAGAGCGAGCATGTCTCCCAGAGTGGGGGAGGTTGGAAAGGGGCGGCACGGGGGAGGTGGCTCTTGATATGAATTTGCCAAACCAGAGCCATTCCAGGGCAGAGGGAGCTGGACAGGGAGGTGTGGGACGACCCAGTCTATCCTTGGAGCTGGAGGCAGAGGGAAGGAGGAGAAACAGCAGATGATGAAGAGCTTTAAGTACTATATCAAATACTATACCAGGGAGTTGGACCTGATTCCTCCCACCGCCTAAATGCTGACTCCTTTAAACATATTTGAGTACTGATTTTAGGTATACAGAGATGAATTAACCCATGTGTTATATTAGCAGGTGTTCATTGAATCCCTCCTGTTTGCCAAAATCTTGTCCTTAAAAGCAAAACAATTTCATAGGATAGAAAGACATGTAAAAAAAATTCTAATTACAAAACTATATGGTAAGTATTATAATAGAAATGCATGCTTTCTTCTTTCCTGGGCTTAGAAATTAGTAAGGTGTCTGGTAACTCTGAACCTTGAGGAATTTTAAATAGGGAACTAATAACGATCATAGTTTTGATTTAGGAAAAGCAAAGCTGCTAATGGAGTGATTTCCAGAGTAATCTGCAGCTAAAGTCGATATTTTAAATGCCAACTAAATAATATTATCAGTTGAAATAAATTTTGTGAGAATAGTGAGACTTCATTTTAATCCTCTGCACTTTCTCTAGGCCCAGAGCATGCTGGGACAGCTGGTAGCCTGACCCCAAGGAGCAGGCTTCTTAGCTCTCTTGTTCTTGCTTTGCAGGTAACCAAGAATGAACGTCACATTATGAAGCCGCTCTATGACAGGTACCGGCTGGTCAAACAGATCCTGTCCCGAGCCAACACCATACCCATCATTGTGAGTTCACCACCTCTCTGTTGTTGATTACCTGGTTGAATGGGCCCTGGCTATTCATAGGGCCCTAGCCCGCTTTCTCATGAAAGAATAGGCTCTAATAGATGAGCATGCCATTAATACCTCTGGCCCATAAGCTTGGGAATGAAGGATTTATCAAAGACTTCTCAAGCTACATCTGTCAAAAAATGAGCAAACCTGAAGCTGATAGAACCTTTTTTTCTTTTGGGAGCCATGCTTTAGCCATATACATCCCCCTGGCATGTGCTGGGCCAACGCCCCCACCCTTTCCCCTGAGACAGAGCACCGAGGCTGTGCCTTCTCCAGGCTCTGCCTGCCCGAGAGCCTCTGGTCACAGCGACCCTCTGTGAATAGCCTTCCCTTCCCCTCCGAGAGGGGATAAGCCCCTCTGGGTTCTTATCCAAGGAGAGATCCCTGAGGGACTCTGGGCAGTGGGCCTTCTCTTTCTGGGGCACAAAGAGAAGTGTGAGGTGGAAAGGGAGGGAGGCTAATGATTGTGAAGGTCATCTCAGAGGCCACCATCCTTGGACTTAGCTGTTTTCGCCTCTGAGCTCTGATTTTGTCAAGAGCGGGGAGCAGCAGCTTGCCCTCAGCTCTGGGAAAGCCTTTGGGGGCTGGCCAGCCCCCGCCCCGGCC